TTTACCTTAGAAGTAGTCCCTTATAGTGTGCACTTTTTAGCCTCTATTATGTTCCTATACCTAGATTCTCCTTACCTCACAATATATATTTGCCCTCACTCACTCTAAACCTTATTCCTTGATTTCCCTATACCTTATCTGCATTTTCCATGCTATAACAATACAACAATTGCTAGACACTGCATGAAGTAAGCACCCAGCCAAATATAAATATTGTGATCTTGCACAGCCTAGTCTGCTATACTTGCAAGACAAGTGTGTTTGACCTGAGGGGTTGGCTGTTTAGAAGTAGTATTTAGTGATAAGATGTGTAGTCAATAGTTTGAGCATGGAAAACAATGTCCAAAGATATAATTATGAATTCAATGTTTTTTAGTGTAATGATATAACAATAGCTGAGCACAACACACAGTAAGTACTCAGCCAAATATAAATGTTGTGGTCTTGCACAGCCTAGTCTGCTATACTTGTGAGACAAGTGCATTCGATCCAAGGAGTTTGCTGTTTGGAAGTAGAATAATTAGTTATATGAAAAGGAAGATAGTCCAAGTGCAGGAAACAATGTCCAAAGGTAAAAATGTCGGGTCCAATGTTTTTCAGGTCAGGTTGCATCGGGAATGCGTCAGAAAGTTAGTGAATGTTGGGGATACTGAATGTTGGGCTACTGTCGGTATTTTCAGAGTGTTTTGGATAAAGAAAGGATGATATTATGGAATTCAGCTAAGAACTACTAATATCAGATGACCTCCTCCTACTCGGAGGTAGAAAGGTAAGTAATTATTATGTGAAATATATAGTATCTATGTAGAATTTTGGAGTGCTATAGGCAAAAGTAGTAGTGGGGGGCCCTTGTTCTCGTACCACCACCATGGTTGAATATTCCCACACATGAAAATTGCGGGGCAAGGTTGAGCTGTCGCAGCTCACAGTACCAACTGGCTATGAAAATATAAAAAAAGACTCTAAAACCCTGAAACAATAAACCCTCTCTAAACCTCCTAACACAACTCCACTCAGAATCGATTCAACCACTTCAAAATGACCCCCAACAAGACACCCACGCACACGACTAGAAGCTGACCAAAACGACATATATGCACATTGCAGATGTCTAAGACACACCAACTTACAAAACTGACACACCACCACATGCCTACACATAAAGAGACTGACATTGCACCGACTCATACCACCGCTAACACATATCCCTTGAGAAATCACACCCAAAGATGAGTCATGATAGGCCACAACTAATATTGAGACCAAGATGAACCCGGCCATGCTACTCCCACTGAACAGGCCAAACTAACTAAATCCAGAATGACTACACCTGAAGGAACAGTATAAATCCCCGACGTCTAAAACCCATATCCTTCGTCCAACCAAGATGAAAGACAAGGAAATTACCTCCTCCAAGGCCATATCCTGGGCCACACACCCATACCCAAGCATGCCTCATCCAATGTCTCAGACCTCTCAGTCTGGACCAAAATATCCCCCAACATCATCCAGGACGATGATGACCTAGAATGCGCCATGGACCTAATACCCTATTTACCTGACCCCCCGTCCCCAAAAACCTGCACTCCCCCAGATCCCCCCCTGACACACCTACCCCTACTCCCAATACAAATTACACACACACCCTCCAACCTGACCTACTCGTCTATCAGGAATTTAGTGTCAAAGTGTCCAAAGCTGACAATGTTGATCCCCCAAACTACGGCCTTGCTACCTCCATCTACGCTCCCAGTAACTTCACAGAAGATCAAAATATGAGTGCCCCTATAAGTCCCACTGTCAAGCATGAACCAACTACTGAAGAACAGGCCATCCTAGCGCACCTAGCACTAGCAGACACAAACAGATCCATTCTGAGCCAGAACAGCTCGAATCACCATGCAGCCCTTTCCCAGTTTACCCCAATTCCAAACAGGGGATTCCCAACAGTGCATATGTCACACTCCGCCCAAATCTTTGACCATCTTGACAATAGAGTCTTACTAGCATGGTTCCAAGTAGAACACCCCAAGTTCGTAGTCTGGGTGTTTGACCACTCTGAAAAAGATGTAGCTGAATGAGCTGCTATTATAGCAGAATGTATCCGCGCAAACATCTCCACCATAGCATGATATTTGCATATACTCCGGCTTATTATTAGTGTCCTTTGTTCCATTATTACTAGGAGTTGTCAAGACTTGCCTCGAGGGGGGTGTTTCCAAGCCCCCCACTGTGTTTCCCTACTGCTTATTATCTAGTGTTAAGCTCTCCTCCTCGTTTGGCGTGTTTATGATCTGGTTGCATATCGTGACCTTCCCACTCTGGTCTTCAATAACGATGGTGTCCATTTCATACTCGTGTATTGCTTTGAATGCTTGTAGCATCGGTTTTCCGAAAAGGAATCCCCATCCTCCACCACTGTCAAACACCTTGAATTCTCCCTCTGCTCGCACTCCTTCAATCTCTATCATTCCCGACCATTTTGCTAATGAACTGACGATGTTCCCATTCGCCATGCATAATTGTCATTTCGACTGGTTCCAGTTATGCAAACGATGCTTGATTTTGTTGAATACTGATACGCACATCGCCCCGACCATAGCCCCGTCATCGAACAGTGCTCTAACTCTGACGATTTCCCCTTTTGGACCCTCTGACAAAACTCGATGTAGGAATGGGACCGCTTCCTTTGCATCCACTTGTTGTCTAGTTGCCGTTATATGTCCCACTGTATACAAATCAACGATCTGAATTGTTTCTGTCAGAGCAGGTACAACTGCGGCTGGTGCATTATCTATACGTTCATTGACGGGGTTGGGGCATAACATGACCGGGTTGTCCTCGTGCGGTGCCTCTCCCCGCGTGAGGACCCTCTCTTCAGCTTGGATATTCCTGGATTGTTGGGTCGACGTGATATCCTTTCTTACACCGACCCATTCTCTTTTCCCTTGCTGCCTTCCTGAATTTCCTCGATCCAAGCTGATACCAGCTGTTGCGCATGCCCAAATACTAATGCTATTGGTGTAGCCGTTGTTTGATTGAATGATCCCAAAACCCTACTTACTATCGCTCTCCATGCTGCTTCCTTGCGCCTTAATCTCTCCTGATGATCTGGTGGTATTGGGCAATTTCTCCCATTATGCCCATGCATACCACACGCAAAGCATTCGCTTGAGGCGATCACTGCTGTGCCCTGTTTAAGTGGGTATCCCGTCTCGTGCGTGACCCTCGTATTCTCTCCCCATTTCGCATTCCATTGGGCTATTTGCATAGCATACGCTGTGCGTCCCACCGCTGTATCCTGCTGGTGTGTGTATAATGCTATAAGTTGTCTAACCATTGTTTTCAAGTCTTCCGTGACCACCAATGGTTGCAAGGCTGTGGTTGGCTGATGAGTGAAAGTAGATGGTGGATACGCCGTGGTCGTTTGCACTGCTGTGCGCGTGATGGTATTACCACTGCGAGACGTGTTAGGTATTACTGAAGGATTTATGGTCATCTGCGAAAGCTGATTCTGGAGTGCTGTGATCGGGTTTTGCGTTGTGCTGCATTCTTGTAAATGGGCTACATCTGCGCGCAATAGATTGACCTCCAATTCCTGTTTCACGTGCTGCTCTTTTTTCTCCATTAGCCGTGTTCCTTTCAGCTCTGTGACTTCCTTTGTAAATTCCGCCCAATCTGTATACTCTGTATCCTTCAAGAGGTCCTTTACAACTCCCAGGAGCTTCCCTCTAACCTGCCAGATCATGGACGTACTTGATGCGATCCCTGTGCTCGTTGCCAACTGTAATGCCTTAGTGGCCCAGGCCACATGCGTCCAGCATTCACGATTGTATAAGGTGGTTTTCGTTCCGACCTCCTTATCTGTTAATAAAAACTCCAGCAGTTCCTTCTCATATTCTGCTTTAGTTTTTTCCACGATTACAATTGGTGGCCAGTGCCTTTTGAACACTGTGACGAACCCCAGCCATGTGGTTCTATCCACCGATGGAAGAGCTTTGAACCATATCTCGGCTTGTGAGCCTGTCCCCAGGTAATCTCCAAACACATCTAGTTTGTCCATGCTCACGATGATGGACTGTTGTCTCATTGCCCAGTTAAACGACTTTAAGAAATCTGCAGGATTTTCCAATGTCCGGCCATCCCCATGAAATATCTGTGGTGTTTCTGTAGGCATTTTGCTTTTGGCTTGTGCGATTTTGAAAAAGCTATTTAAGTCGTAGTCTGGTGCTGTGGAAATCGATTTGAGTGGCTCTCTTTTTGTATAACGCGGTAATGGTTGAAAGTCGAGTGGGGGCAATTGCAGGTCTAATTCTGGGACCTCTAACTCTGGAAATGGTACGTTGATTTGGTCTTCGTCTCCAAGGCTACTAAGAGGCAAGCTATCTGAAAGATGTGGTGTATTCTGTGAGGATGATTCTGGTGTGTTGAGCGGGGAGGAATCAGTGGACGTATTCATCAACCAATCTGACCAGTTGACTTTTAAATGAATATTCGTCATTGCCTTTCTTGTATCTGCTGTGGGTCTTAAGCTGCTAGGCATCAGTTTCCGATGAGAATCCACGTAAATGATAATGCAAGTACAGTCCTTTTATGGTCTCCACAGATGTTCTATGAACACCTGCTGTCTAGCTTAGCCCTTCTGAGCGTGACACGACGTAAAAGAACTGTATTCTCTGTTACATGTTTGTGTAATTAAGCATGTTGTGTTCTGCGTTCCGAACTTGCTTCCGAGTTGTGTTTACACAATTGCAAGGGCCAAAGCTGCGACTGCGACTATAGCTTCTTTAAGCTAGAACAAAGACTATGTTGGCTAGTTCGAATGCACTCCATTCACCATGATGTGATAGGCAAGACTGGCTTCTGTGATGTGTTGCTACTGGAATGAATGATTGTGCTGCTTGCTCTGTGCGAAACTGCCAACCTCCTCTGACTAAGCTTCGGAAACCGCCGTGGGACTCTCTCCTTGTCTCTGTTGCCCATGAGACCCCTAGTCCAGCATGCAAGAGACACACCTGACAGCTGACCACCAATTCCAACTAGACACAATATTCTCCCGATACCTAACAATTCTGAATTTGAGTGACCCTACACGCCCCAGCAACTCAGCTGGCATCGCTTTCATCTTAAACAAGGAACTCACCAATGCCTCAAGTGCTACTGTTAAGAATGTGCTCAAAGGTTCAGATCTGAAGGGCTCAGCTTCAGCTTGTACGCTGCGCCCCTTACCCGAGTACATGCCCTTAAATTCCGAAGGTTATAGGACAACGTCCAAAGCACAGGAATTACGGCAGACATTCGGAAACAAGATATAAGACTAGTCTGGACGACGTCCGAACTAGAAAGAAACAGTGGAAGACTACCGGAGGTAGATGCGGAGGTGTTTAAGTCAATAGGAATCAATCCTAGGACTATCGGAAGATGACGAGAGGAGAAACTCAAGTCGGATGGAGGCAGGAATGAGCAGAATCTAATATGATATTCGAACTGAGGATGTACAAAGAATTTACAGGGTTTATATACTACGGAAACATAACAGATGTTCAGTCAGTGCAGTGCAAGGCTATGTACGAAGCATGTGGAAAGCTTATCAATGGTATAATGGAACATAACAGAATGAAGTTGGAAATGAAACAAGGCCTGGATAAATGAATACAGTCGGATATGTAAATAACCGGAGGACTGGTAAAAGAAGCTAACCGAAATGGGACGTACAAAATGAAAAGGAAAACAGAAGTAGAAGCCAGTTGGATCTGGACATCCAGAAATAAGTGTGTGAATGGTCTGGGTCCGGTGAAGGTACAACAATTCAGATGGTGAGTCTGAACAATGTTGGGTCTTGCAGAACCTAGCTGCTATTCGACCCTAAAGGGTTTCTGGACCAGGCTCAAGGCTCAGAGGAGAGGAAATGTCATAAAAACTGCTCAAGACTCAGACTCATACTGGTAACTGGTGAAAAGGTAACTTGCTTATGTAAGCTACAAAAGTGCCAACATAAGGTAAGGTAAAAACAGTCTCTACAAGCCCAGCCAGAAATGAATCCCTACACCGGAACACGGGATATGACAGCCACCATGGAAGTTCTAATCCCAGGGCGAGTGGCCATCCTATCTATAAACTGACACAATAATGAGACAATGAAGATACTAAATGTATATGCACCAAACAATGCCAATGAACAAAATACCTTCTGGAAAAAGATCAAAACTGAATGGGAGAGAATACAAGCTGGCCCCCTGGACTTCATGCTGGGTGAATTTAACTTAACCGAAAATCCAATAGACTGTGCCCCAGCAAGACTTGATAATGAAGCAGCTGTAGATGCCCTAAGAGACCTAAAGTCAGTGCTAAATATGCAAGACACATGGCACAATGAGCACCCACACCACCACCTGTTCACATTCAATAGTAATCACCAGATACTATCACGACTGGATAGAATATACACTTTGGATAGACACACCGAAAGCATGCTGGAATGGGCCTTGAGTGTAAGCCAAATTCTAACAGATCACCATATGGTATCGGTGAGATTTGCACCGCTTGGCCTTCCACATACTGGCAAAGGCAGATGGTCATGGCCTGTAGGAGTGATAACTGACGACAACCTAATAAAACAAATAATCAGAATAGGAATTGAAACACAACAAGCTTTCGACAAGGTTGGACAGAGAACCAACACAAAAAACCCACAAATGATATGGAAGGCATTCAAGTCCAAAATAACCAACACCACCAAAGATACCACCGAAAAGCACCTAGCCAAGATAAACCAATGAATAAGATCACTAACAAAAGACTTACAAAAAATCATGAACTCGAAGGAAATAGACACTTCAGAAGATACGAGAATCAATAGAGGTATAATTGAACAGGAAATTGACCACTTACAAAAAAAAAAAAAAAAGAAAGCCCACCTAAAGGCCCAAGCACAATAGGCAACTCAGGGAGAAAATGTAAGCAAGTATTGGTCAAAAGTAAACAAAAAGAAAACTCTGAGAGATATTATACACCATCTACAAATACCTGGATCAAATAGATTCACAACAATATCAGAAGAAATAGCGGAAATAGCGAAAACATACCACGAAAATATCCAATCAGCCAACAATAACCTGAACAGCGAACAAACACAATGACAAGCGAGAGAGAAATCGCTAAAAGAAATACCAGATGATCAGAAACTAAACACATCCCCAAAGCAAATGGAAGAGGTCCTACAGGAAGAACATATCTTAAATGCACTTATGTTGTTGAAGTCTGGAAGCACAACCAGAATAGACGGACTCCCGTACAAGCTATGGAAACACCTACACATCAAATACAGTGAAGCATGTAAAAATAAGAAACCCAAATTCAACATTATTAAAATTCTCACTGAATTAATGAAAGATATACAGCTGAATGAAGTGGAAGAACACTCAGATTTCACTCTAGGGTGGATGTAGCTGTTGTTTAAGAAAAAAGAACATGCTTTGATCGAAAACTACAGACCAATAACATTACTAAACACAGATTACAAAATACTTACCAAGGCACTAGCCATACAACTAACAAAACATATACAAAAATTGATACATCCAAACCAAAGTGGATTCATCCAAGGCAGATCGATCTTTGACCCAATTCACCTGACACAAGTAATGATGGCATACGCTGACCTCATGGAGGAAAACAGAATAATAGTAGCTCTAGACCAAGAAAAAGCTTATGATAGAATACACCATAAATACCTACTGGAAACACTAGAGACTTTCCGCCTCCCACCCATATTCACTAACACCATCAAAAGCCTATACCAATCAGTGTACACAAAAGTAGCCATTAACGGTTTCCTAAGTGCCCCCCCTAAAAGTCACTTGTGGCATATGTGTCATATCCCGCATTCCGGACCAACATCTGACGACATTCCCACGCCTCATCCGGACCTCCGGACCTCCTGTCCATGTCTCCAGACCCAATCCTCTATCCGTCCGGATCCCTGTACTCCTGCATCTGATATCCGGATGCCAGATCTGATATCCACATCTCCGGATCCCCGGATCCGACCTATCTGTCATGTCCGAACCCAAACCTTAAATCAGCGCCCATCCCCTTATGGTAATCACCTGTCTCCGGACTTCCGAACATCCGGATCCGACCCACGTCTATCTTCCTTGCGTTCCTGACCCAGACCTATCACGCATTCATCTCCGGACATCCGGATCCGACCCGCGTCTATCTTCCGTGCCTTATCCCTTTGTATGTTCCTTCTTGAGTTAGACTTCCTCATTTTCCGTACCTCATTTCATCTCCGAGTTCATTTCCTATGATCCGTCTTATTTTCTAATACATTTCCACATGCTCGTACATAGCCTTACCCCTCTGCTTACTGATCTGCACAGACTTGCCTCTAGTATATAAACCCCAGTAGATACTCCTGTATTTCCTCAGTCTGAATATCATACACATATTAGTCCTCGCACTAGTCTTCACACTGAGTCCTCGTAACAGTTCTATTCCTCCGACTTAGTAATCATCCATCTCAGGCCTAGGGAGGAATTCCCTAGGCCGGAGCTCCGCTCCTCTGCTCCTCTGCTCCTCTGCTCCTCCGCTCATCCACTCATCCACTCATCCACTCATCCGATCCTCCATTCCTCCAAGTTTCCGGAAGTTCCTCCGGAACTTTCCCGCGGTCCTCCGGACCTATTCTGCTTCGGACTTTGTCCTTGCAGCCTTTCCTCTGTTTCCTTCTACTCAGGACTCGTCCTGAGTAGCCATTATACATATCCCCGTCAGGACGAAACTCCATCGTAATTTCCGGAAGTTCCTCCGAAACTTTCCCGCACTCATCCGGAAGTTTCTCGCACTCGTCCGGAAAGTCCTTCCGAAGTTTCCCACGCTTCTCCGGAAGTCCTTCGGACTTCACTGGACTTTCTCCGGACTTCATTCTGAAGTTAAGGGCACATACTTGGGTAAGGGGCGCAGCGCACAAGCTGAAGCCAAGCCCCTTGGAATCAGTCCTACCCTTTGTGCATGGTCTTAACAATATGACAAGGAGACCCTCTGTCCTGCTTGCTCTTTGATCTTGCAATCGAGCCTCTAGCATGCATGCTTCACAACTCCATGACACTAAAAGGGTATCAAATCCCTGGAATAGAGGAAAGAATAATCGTAAATATGTACGCCGATGACATAACAGTATACCTCTCACAAAACGATAGCTACTCTGACCAAGAAAATGTCCTGCAAGACTGGTGTAAAGCCTCAGGCGCTAAATTTAACTTAGAAAAAACTGAGATTCTGCCAATAGGAACCAAAACTCACCATGCAAACATAATTCAAAATAGAAAATTAAATGAGCGAGACACCCCATGGCACAACCAAATTAGAATAGCCCATGATGGTAACCCCATACGCTCCCTTGGGGCCTGGATAGGCAATGACATTGAACACACCACATCCTGGGAACCAATCCTGGAGAAGATCGAGGAAAACCTCAACAGATGGGACCAGAATATCTGCATTGATAACGAACATGTTAAAAATGGCCAAAAAACATAATGTGATTTTCGCACCTTTGAAAGTCTCCCCCGATCTTAAAGATCAACTCCCAGCATGGCAACACATAGGTGCACCACCGAAGACCTACCACAAAAACAAAGACATGTGCCTACAAAAACCCATAACGTTAAGTCAGTATGACACCTGAGAGAAATCACCAACTGACTAACAAACAAAAACAACCACCTCCCACGAACCTCGTGCAAATGCGATGAATGCTGCGAGGACCAACAAAAAAGGATGTAAGAACCTGCATAAATGTGCTACCATAGCAGATCACATACTAAACAACCTCCTCCCCAAATATAATCCAAACACCTCCCCAAGAAAAGATGACCTAACCCTGACACACAGACAGTTAGAGAAAAATGCACAAGCCAGGAAACAACCTTGAAGCGAGATCACCTTCAACCCATCCATCACAATCAAAAATGACCTATCTGATGGCTTCACCTCCAGTCCCTCTGTCTTGACTGCACTTCTAAGGCAAGCCGACACTACCTTAGCCATACATCTGCAAGTCCTACAGCTTGATGAGCCGCCGCGCTTACCAAGCTTGTTGGAGGATACCTTGGCCTTCGACCGAGCTTAGAACCCATCCTTCTGTCTGCCAGATGATTGGCCATTCGGCCAGAGAAGGCTCAACCTATCCAAGTCGTAACACTAACCCCTATTAAGATTATGACTGACTTGAAGTATGTCATAGACAGCTTAAACACACACCTGGGAAAATGGGAGGACTCAGGCTGGATTGAGATATTGAATGCCTGTCATATCCCGTATTCCAGACCTACATCCGACAATATTCCCACGCCTCATCCGGACCTTCGGATGCCCTATCCATGTCTCCAGTCCTCTACCCATCCGGATCCCTGCACATCCGCACATCCACATCCACATCCAGATCCCTTTACCTCTGTACATCAGACCTCCATACCTCCGCAGCTAGCCTGCATCATTCATCCTTTGTCCTATCGCCCTAATGTCATATCCTGCATTCTGGACCAACATCCGACGATGTTCCCATGCCTCATCCGGACCTCTGGACCTCCTGTCCATGTCTCCAGACCCAATCCTCTATCCGTCCGGATCCCTGTACTCCTGCATCTGATATCCGGACACTAGATCTGATATCCACATCTCTGGATCTCCAGATACGACCTATGCTTCATATCCGAATCCAAACCTTAAATCAGTGCTCATCCCCTTATGGTAATCACCTGTCTCCGGACTTCCGAACATCCGGATCTGACCCGCGTCTATCTTCCGTGCCTTATCCCTTTGTATGTTCTGTCTCGAGTTAGACTTCCTCATTTTCCGTACCTCGCTTCATTTCCGGCTTTATTTTCCTATGTCTTCATCTCCGTCTTCATTTACTATTTTCCGGTAGACTAGTGTTTGACTTTTCTATACCCTCCGTCCACAGCCTCGCATAGCTTCGGACTGCGCTGACTGATTCTCCGTTATGTCCTTTGTAGTATATAAACCCTGTAAAGTCTCTATACTTCCTCAGTCTGAATATTACACATATTAGTCCTCGCACTAATCTTCACACTAAGTCCTCGTAACAGTTCTATTCCTCCGACTTAGTAATTATCCATCTCAGGCCTAGGGAGGAATTCCCTAGGCCGGAGCTCCACTCCTCTGCTCCTCTGCTCCTCTGCTCCTCCGACCCTCTGATCCTCCATTCCTCCGATCCTCCAAGTTTCTCGCACTCGTCCGGAAAGTCCTTCCAAAGTTTCCCACGCTCCTCCGGAAGTCCTTCGGACTTCACTGGACTTTCTCCAGACTTCATTCTGAAGTTAAGGGCACATACTCGGGTAAGGGGCGCAGCGCACAAGCTGAAGCCAAGCCCCTTGGAATCAGTCCTACCCTTTGTGCATGGTCTTAACAGTATATTCAGACTCACACCTTACCGAGTATACTGAATCCTTAGATCATACCTGAAATCGGATCCGACTTCTGTCCCTTGGAAAACTGTGTATTCTTCCTCCGAACCCTCCATTTTCCTGTATCCCATTTCCGATGAAAACTCCGGATTTTCCGGAGCTCATTCTCTGTTCCCTGCATCAGTAAACACCCGCCGGAATGCTCAATTTCCACCCTTCATGCTCTGCTGTCATTTTCACTTCAGTACCACGAAACTCCAGTCCTGAAACCAAACAGGATTGCCACCTCCGTGGCAGAACAAATAGGTCTCAGGACTTTGTGTCCTGTATTTCCCTGACTCAATCCC